ATACTTATTAGAACTCGATAAACAGAGAGTTCTTCAAGTCTCCTCTTCCCCTTCCTTCCTTTGAGGCTAAACTGTGACCAAACTTCTGAGGAAGTGATTTTTCTCATGATTCGCCGCACTGTCTCTCCATAGTTTGGTCCTCCAATTGTAGAAAGGTATTTAATCTGAATTTAATTTAAATGGAATTGTCAAATCCTATGCATACACACAGAACAGTTCAGCTGCAAATAAGAATGTCAAATTCTAATCCTTTTTTCTTTGGAGCTCTTCGTCCACCCTCAGCTTATCCTCAAAGGAGAGCAAGTCAGGTAACTGACCAATAGATGGGATAGGGTTTTCTGGCCCTGTGTCTTCCTCTCTTGTCTGCAGTAGCCGCCGAAGCAAGAGAGAATGCTCTTCCTGTTTTGCAATTATTTTATCTAGTTTCATGAGGACATTTAACTGGAAATCTGTAATATAATTTCAGTTTGTAAGAACTTCTGTTGGTTTGATATTTTATATATATAAAAAAATTATACAAAAAGGTTTATATAAAATATAAAACCTCTTATAAATATTATGGAGTTATTAATATTACTTACTGTTATTTGATGTACAATTTTGCCCATTTGAATTGAAGTCATCTGAAAACCGAGCAAGTAAAAAAACAAACAAAAAAAAACATACAGTACACATACAAAGAATATTTACTTAAAGGGATACTCCACTCAAAAATGAAAAAAGACTCATGACTTTGTTTTTTCTAATGAACAGAAATGCTTCAAAAACAAACATGATGGTTATCCATATGACCCCAGTTGATGAATCAATGTGTCCTGAAGCAAAACACTTGCAATAAGTAGCCGTCCTCTATGCTTGCATCACTTCTCACACGTTTTACGATGCAACTTACAGCAATGGTTTATAGTTTAAGTTTAAAATACTAGTATTTTTCTCACATATGCCTATCAATTTGCTTCAGAACACACTGATTCATCAACTGGGGTCAAATGGATTAACGTTGTGTTTGTTTAGTGTGTTTTTTCACAAATCAACTTTGGCGTCCTATTTATTTGCTTTATATAGACTCACAGAGGTCGATTATTTTTCTAAAAATCTCAGTTTGTGTTCCACAGAAGGGAGAAATAAAGTCATATATGCAACCCCAAATCAGAAAAAGTTGGGATGTGTTTTAAAATGCCATGAAATTGAGAATCTGTGGTTTGTTAATTCTCTGTCTTTTATTAAATTTTTATTAAATTTATTTAACTTTTTATTTAATTTACAAAAGTACAAAGAAAAGACTTACAACGCATTTTGTAAAAACAAAGGAATTTTGATGGCTGCAATACACTTCAAAAAAGTTGAGACAGGCAAAGTAAACATGACAGAATATAGAATATCCTAATTAAACTGTTTTGAAACAGTTCACAGGCAGGTCATTTGGTAATAGGTGAGGGTATCATGTTTGGGTATAAAAGGAGCATCTTAGTCTTTGCAAGCAAAGCTGGATCATGGCTTATCACAAATTTCAAAATTTGTTTACATTTACAAAATACAATTAATTTGGTCAGTAAACACATTGTAAATATTTTCTTCGTACTTGCAGGAATTCTGCAGCAAGACCTTTTAACTAAACTAAACAGATTCTAAACTTGATTTTGATTTTATTGCATTTTACAAAACGTCCCCATTTCAGATTGGATTTGTACATCTGGAATGGCAGGAGGTTGAGTAAATAATGAAAAAATTAAAATTTTTGGATGGAGTACCCAATTTAACATTACTTACAATTTTGTCTTTGGGTATCTGTCCAGCTTCCATTGTCACTGGCTGTCCAGGCTGATTCTAGGCAAAAATGTAAAATTTGTATGCAAAACTTAATGAACATGGATACATTTTAAAAATGACCAGGCCTCACAATAGCACTTCATAAATTTTGAGGTTTTCAAAATGGACTTGAAGCCACTAGTGCTCTATCATGATCAAATTTTGCATCAAAGATAAAAAGTAACACACCATGTTTCTCTCTTATAAACATTTAACTTATATTTGCATATGTAAGTACA